AAAAGAGAATGTTTCTTGGTGGTAGATCACTTGTGAGTCAGAACTATATGCCATAATATCTAATGATCGAAAGTATCTGTTCTAAAGAAATTCTCATTATAGGTCTTATTGTTTTTATAGGAGATCAAAGTTTATTGAAAAGCATTCTCTAGAAAAACACTACATACATGTCAAAATATCTCCAATTTAATTTCAATATCTCCATAATGACTCTCTCATTTGAAATGAAATTTTTAGTTTCTTGCCAAGTTTACTAGACCTACTTACTGTGACAATATCGGCCCAATCGGTGACATTGACCAAGCAAGATTCTGCTGGGGAATGGTCATCACTTATGCACAATGCCTCTCAAATGGCTTCTTGAATCCACGTAACAAATTTAGCTGAAAACTACCATAGCACAACTCCTAAATTAACTAATCGGACTCTACAATCACGTGTACACATCTTGACGTCTCATTAGTGCATAACTTCAGAGAGAGTTAATGTTTTCAAATTTTATGTAGAAAACTTGATCATTTGAGGGTGATTCCGTAACGGCCTGCTTGCACAACTAGAATGTTTATAAAAACAGGCAATCCATTGGTTGGATAGAGCACTAAAGATTGTATTTAGAGCACTGCTTTTTAGAATGAAAAACTTAGTGTTCTTGGCTAAAAATGAATTAAAAGGAATTTTCGTTACGGAATCACTTTCACCAATGTATTACCTTTACAAACATAAATAATTCTGCTGTAGATGTGACGAAACGTAGTCTTCTCGTTATAAATGAGTAATGCATAGAAAGCATTACTAGTTGGTATGAAAGGTTTCGGACAAGATATGTTTGTTTATATAAAAAATTCTAAAATAAAAATCTATCATAAATATTCGCCTTTAGTGCTATTACGACACATATCATTTGTAGCATGTATTTTTTAAAGAAATATCGTAACCAGGTAAATAAAAGATATATTTCTGTATGTTATCGACATCGCTCTATATGATGATCATATTGATTTCGATCAATTTGGTAGGTCGACTTCGCCCACCAAGGTATACCGTTACGTGGACAAGCCGTCAACTTGGACAAAATTATATAAATAAATTCCCAATACAAAAATCAACTACAATTGGATTGAAAAAATAATAAAAAATGAAGTTTTTTAAATTGATTTTCCTTTCGTGCTTTTTTTTTATTTTGTTTTAAAAGATAAATGACATTGATTAAAAGTTAAGTTAAAGATAAAATTTTAATTTTTAAAAATTTATGTTTGATTATCTCTATTCTATTCATTAAACAATTCAATCCAACGACCACCTAACAATTCTGGTGATAGATATGATTCTTGATTTGCTGTTCGTTGTTGTGCTCGATAACGGTTTTCACATGCTGCACCAATATGTCGTCTTAATAAAGTATGTTCATCTGGTAATATCACCATCTTTATATTATTAAAAAGACAAAAAGAAAATCAAATAGAAATAAAACCATTGAGCCATGAAAATATTTATATCTGACAAAAAAACGTACATAGTTTAAAAGAAATTCTTTATAATAATGAACGATGTATGAACACCTACGTTCTTTTTTTATCAATCTTTCATGAGACAGCTGTTCTTTATGAGATAGAAACTCGAGTGTCTATGACAGAAATGGGTAACATTGTTCGTCTTTTGATTAATTCTAAATCACGCACATCTCCACTACACATATTAAAATCTGATTTGTATGTTAATCCAACATAACGTTGAGGAAATGAAATTTGATAAGAAAAAAACGCACGGAATCTACTTTTATTTACCACTTATAAATAATAATAATAACAATATCCATTAAAGTTACATTGAATGATAACATACGTAACGCAGTTCATACTTTATATTAAAGTACACTAACATGATAAAAAGCAGATTTTTCTATTTTTTGTCTCTGTATATTATTAGTTGACACCTCTCCTTTTTTTTATATGAAAAAAAAGAGTAATATGATAAAAAAAAAGCGTTTGATCATTCCAATGTACTTTTAGCATACGAAAATGATAAATAATTAATTTCCCTTTAGAATGACATGAAATAGAACATGATTTTAATATAAATATAAGTCAAATCATTAAAGTGATTTATTCACACCTTTGATGTTGATAATCATTATATCAAACATTGAGTTCAAAAATCTCTTTGACGTCAATAGAGTATTTTGATAAGAGAAAAAAAAAAAGAGAAATTGAATATATTATTTCATTTCCTTATTATCATAATGTTTTATTTTTGTGTCATATACATATGTAGAAAAAAAAAATATCTGACAAGATTAACAAACATGTTTCTATCTGTACGATCAATGAAAATATATCGAAAAAAGAAAAAAAGAAATAAATAATAATAATAATATCTGATTAATGTTGCACAGGTTTCATTCGATTGATTTCTTCAATTAATCGTCGTCCATGTGATGACCAATCAACATCACTAACACCTACACAAGTAAATCGAGTCTTTCGTTCATTCTAATTGAATAAAAAAATATTTTAGATTCTTTTTTTTGAAAGATATTAAGAAAATTGATTTACATTATATTGTTCAGCTTTAGCACGAAGTTTAAAAATTCGTTCATGATTCATTGCTTTTCGAATGACATCTTCAATAATACTTTCATTTCGCTAGAATAATAAAATAATGTATCATTAATTATATTTTCGTAAGAGAGATTACTTACATTAAGTATATTATTACCAAAGTCATTAGCAGTCATACCAAGTAATGTTTCAGCTTCATTACCAGATACAGTGATCCATTGTGCACCGGTTGCATCAGAGATTTCAGCCTAAAAAAAGACAAAGTCAGAACAAAGTGCATCTTTAAAAAAGATGGAATTCGAAGATGCTCATTACGAGTACAGCAAAAAGCCGTTTTGTGCTCATCTCTGCTTTTCCGTGGCTTTTCAATAGAAAATGTTGGCATCTGGCGATCGACTATGCTCGATTCTGATCACTTCTCTCAGCGGACTGAAAAATCAGTCAACGCATCTGGACATCGCACTCCTGCTGCTACTTCTCGAGTTTTCTAGTTGGAATTAGTCCATTACGCCTTTCAATTGGATTGATAACTACAAATTGGATTTTTATTGCGTGCATCATAATCTAATCAGATAACTAATGAAACAGTTGATAATTTCACGATTAAAAAATAATTTTTGTTGCTTGATTACGAAAGTGAATGTTTTCAAACTTGTTTATCTTAAAAATAATTTTTTGAATGATTCTAAACGTCGATTTCTTCGTGACCGTGAACATGTCACCAGCAAATGTTTGTCTCGGATCATCAGTAATACAGCATATTGATCACGTTATGACATACCCCCGTCATCGTAACTAGTCAATATGTGTGGGGAGTGGAAAGGATTGAGCAGAACCACTTTGAGTTAGATCGGTCTTTTATACACAACTACAATTAGCGGTAAATACAGGAAAAGTATCGTGCTTTCGAAACTGTCTTCAAACCGTTAGTTAGCTGGACAAGTAACCAACCGATTACTCACAATAACCCTCGGTGCCTCAATAAAAAATCACAAAAACAGAAAACAGCTAAGGATTGTCGAATGGTTTGGATGGCATGGGTAACAAACTAACCCATGTCGCTACCTTTCAATTTCTCACTCGCATCTTGTCATAAAATCTTGCAAAAAGACATTTGTTACATACCGAAACCATATAAGACCATTCTAAATTATTATATGTTTTGTTACATTTTTTACATCTGTATGTTCCATTATTTTCATCTACAACTGTTTCTCTACATGTTACATCAAGACACAGCTATAAATAAAAATAAAAATTCTCTATTTGCTTTTTTTTCCTTTTTTTTACTTACCATATAAGCAACTCTATCTTTTTTAATTAATGTACTCATTGCTTTAACATTAACATAATCAGGTTCATCACCTAAACCAAGACCTTCAGCAATGATTTGTGAAAATGTTTTAAATGCAGATTTATCTTTTTTGCTGAGCTCTCTTTTTGCTCGTCTTGCATCAGCTACATCAGCATCGATTCCACTTCGATAAAACTTTAATTTTTTATTATCTTTTTCTTTTTCTAATGCTTCAATTGTTTCTTTTGGTGCATTATTTTGTTTCGCATTATCAACAGCAAGAAGTGCCACTGCATATTCTTGTTCTTGATCATCTTCAATCGTACATTTTTTTTCGACCTAAATTTTGGAAAAATTAGGAACGTCGAGAAAAAAAAATTTTCAACGTACGTCATCTGTTTTAGTATCGATACCTCCAAGAAATTTGTCTTCGGCTGCCATGTTAAATGACTATAAAATAAAATGATGTTTACAATTTTATTTTCGTTTGTCACGTCTCTTTCTCTCTCTCTCTCCGATTCTTTTCGTCGTTCTCCATATTATTGTCAGTATTTACATGTATATATGGAGAACGACAAAAAGAAATGAACCAAGCAAGACAATACAAAGGAAAGCAAACTTTTTGGTTAGAATTCAATCTAATAGTCTTAACTCTGGAAGAACAACTTATGAGGACAAAATTTCCTAAAGTGTCATCAAGCTCTAAACAATTGATATACATCTGGTTGACGCATGAGCACTTCCTCAAATATTCTCTAATGGATCAGTGCAAAAGATGGAAGATTCTTCAATACCGTACTAGAAAGATGTCTGTAGTAACTAATAATCTGTTGCTGTTGCACTATGACAGCAGCAGCGTCACTACTGCGATGGATACTTCTGATGTGTAATTAGATCAGAAGCGAAGTAGATATTTATCCTCTCTCCGGTCCGATTTCTTCCATTCGGTCATACTAAAACATCATCATTAAACTTAACTTTCTCTAAAAAAAGATTCTTCTCCAATTTTAAAAATATAATTATACCTTTCGATAAGTATTTTTATCTGGTGTAAAAATATTCATTTGATCATCCATTGATAATTTTGAATGTAATGGAATAATATCATAATTAAATTTAATACATTCATCATAATCATCTGGATTAAATTACACTGAATCTGGTTTTCCACGTGGAAAACGTAAAGTTTCATAAACAGTTTGAATTTCAAGTAAACCAAGAAGAAAAACAAGTACAGTAGTACGTTTAATAGGTAAATTTTTCGTGTGATCCCAACCGGCCATACTATCTTCATTATCAAAACTTTTAATTAAGTTAACAGCAAGATTAATTGCTTCACGAGATAAACGTGCTTTAGTTAATTTTAAGTCGGATAATTAAAAAAAAAATAATTTTCTATTATTTTATATTAATAAAATTTCTTTTAAACTTATAAGACCATAATTTTGAATATGTTCTAAATACATTTCTTGAACATCAAAAAGTCGATCATCAACATTAAATTGATAAACTAAAAGAATTTGTCCATTAATAACTTGATGAAAAAAATGAGCTAATTTTTCAACATCAATTGTTGCTGATGTTAATATTATTTTAACATTATGAGAATTTTGTAACCATAATGTACGAATTAATATTAATAGAAAATCCATTCATTGATCACGTTCATGAACCTACGAAAAAAAAACAAAAACTTTATTTTTCTTTGTATTATTTAAAACTAACTTCATCAAGAATAATATGTGTAAAATCTTGAAAAGTTTTTGTTAAAATTAATCTTTGTAAAAGAACATCAGTTGTACAATATAAAATTCTTGTTAATTCACAACGTTGTTTATTTAAACTTGTTTGATAACCAACTGTTTGTCCAACAGGCCAATTACGTGATATTGATATATGTTCACAAAGTGAACGAGCAGCAATACGTCGTGGTTGTGTTACAACAATATTAACTGATTTGGATTGTTTTACTTAATCATCTAATATATATATTGTGGAATTTGTGTAGATTTTCTTGATCCAATATTTCCTTGAATAATTGTTATACAATTTGTTTCAATTATTGATAATATTTTATCTTTTTGTGAATAAACAAATAATGTTGTATCTTGATTAATCCATTCTTTTATTTCTTTATAATCATCAAATGTTTCTAATGCACGAGATATATCAAATATTTGACGAATTACTTCTTTATCAGCTTCACTCTGACCACCATCGGGATCTGTTTGACTTTCAATATCAGATAAATGTTCACGATCACCATTGCGATCAAGACTTAATTGAGATAAACGATTATTCATTGATGAACTAACAGTTGTACTACCAAATTGTTGACTTTGTTGAACTACTTATTGTTGTTTCACCATCAATCAATATCACTAATTACACCTTTATTCCAACACTACAATTATAAATTTATTTTAGAACGAAATTCTGAACATTCGAAACTATTCAAAAAAAAACTAATGTCCCAACTTTTCTAAATGCACTTATTATAACGCATTGCAAATTGAAATTTCTAGTTTCTAATAAATATTTTAACACTTAAATAAATGATATATCAGAAAAAATATTTCCAGATGCCTTCAAAACTATGCATCAGTTGTTTCACTTCTACTATAATTTAGCTAAAACATATTGTCATAGTTAATGTATTCTGCGTATGAATTAATATGAGTGTGTGAGGACGAATGTACTTAAACTGTAGCTATACATCAAATAAATTTCCTTTTTTAGGTGTACACTACAAGGAAGTAAATTTCCATTAACATTTCAATATTTCATCTGATTAATAGAAAATTATTAATCTCATCAGTATTCAGACATGTTCTTCCACAAGTATTGTGCTGACAAAGCAGTATTTTTATACTCTTCTCGGTCAACAGAGTTTAAGGAACAACTCAAAAAGATTTCGGGACATAAAATAGTTTGTTTCACAGGGCTTTAGACTGAATCCATGCCATTATTTTTTATCAGTGAGGTATTTGACAATATAAATATGTGATTCCTCTATCGTACATCTTCTTCTTTCGATTTCTCTAATCATTAGAAGCATATATCGAGTTGTTTCTCTGTCACAAAACGACTCTTCCATTCTTGCAGATCTTCACATTTTCAGCATGAATCAGAAACATAAGCGAAGATCCTCAGCATGGTTTCAAAGATATTCTAAGAACTATTTATAGACAATTTCAATAAAAATAATTCCAACTCTGAAAGGAAGATTCCGATATCCAAAGTCTTCTAGTAAAACTTTAAAAATTAATTTATTTTACTTGTAAGAATTCATTATCATATCTTTGTTGAAAATCCCGAGTATAAGCTTTTTGATCAATTAGTAACAATTGTTTTCTTAAAAGAAAAAAAAAAAGCCAAATTCAATTTATAATTATTATCAATAAAAAAAACAAAAGATTCACTTTTCATGAAATGTAGCATATGGAATAATTTCCATTTTATTTTTATTCAATTGTTGCATTTCTTTTTGTTGTTGTTTAAATGATGTTGGACGAAGATATTGAACAGTTTTCTGTTCAGTAACATTTGATGTTGAAATATCAAGTGATTTCTAAAAGATGTTGGTCGTATGGGAATAATACGAAAATAATTTCAATATCTTGTGCACTTAAAGATTCAGTAGCAGAATATAAAGAATTTCCAGGACCATAACTTGGTATGATTGTTTTTTATTTGATCGATGGTCGACGATCATGCTGCATTGATGTCGCCATTCTTTGATTTAACTATTTCCAATTGATATAAATAAAATAAATTTGTATTATATACGAAGACTTTTTTAGGAGAGAATTTAAGAACCAATCAGAATTGACGATTGAATCCAAGGGGGAAAAAGCGTCAGTTAAATCAGCTGAAACTCATTTGAAATCACAAAAATCAAGTAAACTCATTCTAAATCACGAAAATCATTTTAACTCATTTTAAATCACGAAACTCACATTAACTCATTTTAAATCACAAAAATCACTTTAAGTCAATTGTAACTCACTATAAATCGGAAAATAGCGAGCCGTAAGTTTATGATTTAAAATGAGTTTCTGTGAGTTTTGTGATTTAAAATGAATTTATGTGAGTTTTATGATTTAAAATGAGTTTATGCGAGTTTTGTGATTTAAAATGAGTTTACTTGAGTTTTATGATTGAAAATGAGTTTATCTGAGTTATATGATTTAAAATGAGTTTATGTGAGTTTTCTGAGTTAAAGTGAGTTTAAAGCTGATTTAAATGGACTTTAAACTCATTTTAAATCACAAAAACTCATTTTAACTCAGAAAACTCACATAAACTCATTTTAAATCACAAACTCACAATTTGCTTTTTCCCCCTTGATTGAATCTCTTCATAGAATTTTTAGAATACAATAAAAAGGATATTTTTCAAAAGTTTTTTTCATTTTTTTAAATTCTACGATTAGTATTTTTATATAGAATGTCGTGTAGACACTTTAATAAAATAGAGGGCGTCACTTCACAGTGAACAATTATTCTTCAACCAACTTTAGAATGAACTGGAAATTATATTATTCGAGCACAATGGTTATCGAATAAGAATCAAGCCCAATTAGCTTTATTAACAGCAGATTTTACTAAAATTTATGATTTAAGTACTGATACAACTAGTCCAATATATTATTTTATTGTTCCAACAGGTAATTTCATGTTTTCGTGCGGATCCGAGTTCTATGATTGATATTAGATTTAGTCGCTAAGTGGTAAACTAGGCATTCGGCCGGAGAGAAATGGTGCATGTCTAATGCTCGCGCTAGGATAAAAGAGGGTGATTGTAAGCTTCCAGGAAGTGACCTGCGGTTTTGAGAACGTTGCAACTCGTCACGATTTTTTGACAGGGTTATCGTAACGAATTTTACAGAGTGGTCGTAACCGGTGTTTTAATATATACCATTACATAGCTTTCGTAACGAGAATCATGTAATCTCTGCAAACTAAGGCCAGCTATCATCCACATCTTCAATACGAAACTCCTGTTGCTTCATTGCGAAAACCCTGTATTAGCAGTTGCGATCGTCCTGTAAAATTCGTTACGAAGGCCCTGTTTTTTGTCGCTCTTCCTATTTTGCTGGTTATGAAACCTCTGATTTTTTCGGTTACGATAACTCGAATCGTGACGAATTGCAACATTCCCGCGGTTTTCAGTAATTGAAAGAGAAAAATTCTGGACGTCTTTTTGTCTGATATTAGATAAGATATAATTTTAGTTTTGATATGTGCTTCAGATCTATAGTTTGAAACATAATTCAGATGATTGTCTTCTCACATCGCACTGTTGAGCAAACGAAATCATGTATACATCATTGTCATGCATATTTTTGAGCATTTTGCGAAAATGATGGGTTTTATCTTAGATAATATCAGACAAAAAGACGTCTGGTCTTTTCTTCACTCAATTGTTGAAAACCTCAGATCGCTAACTAATGCCATTGTTGAATTATTAAGCTTACACATACTTCTCTTCAATTCTGACATAGACATTAGTTAGAATCTTGCTGATGATTGAGAACGAGTGTTGTTTTTCGAAAACTATTGATAATCATCATAAACACTGACACCGGCAGACCATATGAATACGTCAGGTAAATCCATGATCAATGATCCAGTGTAGTCTGTCCGTCAGGAATTACTGATATCGCACATTGTTACCTGCTAGGAACGTATATTTCGCAACTCCTGCATCTGCATATGTTACATGTATCTATTCAAAATTTCTATTCATCTTAATATTATCTCATAGAGAATGTATCAAAATTTGATCCACCTTAATTTTCATTTAGGCAAAGTCCGTGATTGTACATTTTGCTATACAAAACGAAATAATATCGAATATTGTTATATTTTAATCATGGCTTCAAATGGTTGCATATATTATGAACAATTATGTGATTCATCATCAGTTCGTAATGGTTCATTTTATGTAACAAATACTCTCGATATAAAACATGAAAGTATAACTGAAATAAATAATAATGGAATTTTACTTGGTGGTGGTGTATCTGTTTATTTTTCATCAACATTAATATTATTATTTTGGTCATATGTTCATGGAAAAAATTTCTATGGTATTATTGATGAATCAAATATTTGAAAAATTATTAATGATTTATTCAATAGATGTGAAAATGACACCAACAACATCATCAACAAATGGTAATAATAAATCAACTTCAACTTATCATACATTATGTTCATGATCAGAAATTCCACATCATCCTGGTTTAATTTATACAATGACACAAATGACAAATAATCCTGTTATTTTAATGATAACACCATCAATAGTACGTTTAACTGTATCTATCAATAGAAGACTTAAATATTCGTTATACAGATCTTGGACCTCAAACGGTATCGTAAATGTTGACATTCAATTTTAAGTCAGAATTGAAAAATATTTAAATTTCACGTTAGAATTCGTGAAAGATTACTATTAGTCTATCAGATATAATACCAAATTAGATCATGTAAACTTTCATGACACACAATCGTTCTACGATTTTCAGAATTTAATTAACTGAAACCTTTGAGGCTGCGGTATTATTTGTGTATTATAAAAAGTATATAATATATGAGAAACGTGGTGAGAAAAAAAAGGATGACCTGACTGACACATGACCTGTCAATGAACGAATCAGAATGATTCATATAAAGAAAAATGGCATCATCTCTGTTCTTTATACCCTGTTATTTGTGACATGAATATTTCTCTTTCATTGTTCTCTCAGACGGTAATGAAAAAAATAGGTATATATATATATATAAATCAACACAATTGAATTGAATGAATTAGGCATGAACATTTCGAACAAGCAACATGTCCATATAGTCGATTTGCCCAATGAAATTTTACTTACAATTTTTAACAAATTAAATATGGTTAATGTTCTCTATTCACTTGTCGATGTTAATCAACGGTTTGATCAATTAGTACTTGATCCACTTTATATTCGTAATCTTGATATGACTTCTATGATGATGAAATCATATCATGATCGTATCTACTCTATAGACAATCAAGTTCTTTCAAGAATTTGTAAAAATATTTTACCTCAAATTCACCATCAAATATATGAACTCATTGTTGAACAACATTCAATGGAACTTGTTCTTCATACTATCCATTATCCACAGCTTTACTCATTATCACTAATAGATTTTCAAGAAGAAGTACTTCTCAAGTATTTAAGAGGTATAAACTATTTAATATTCTTTATTTTAATTAAGACAATAGTGAATTAATTAGACATAAGTTAATAATCATTTTTCTTTTTTGTCTGTGAAATGAAGGTGACACAATTCTTCGCAAACTTCTGATTGAACAAATTACATGTCTTCAAATTGAAATCAACGATGAAACAACACCATCACCACTTCCTGAAATTCGTTCGACTATGTTTGCTTTGATTTTATCTTTATGTAAACGATTAATCAAATTAAACTTTACTTCATTCTATCATCGATCAACGTTTTATGCTTTGGATTTATCATCAATCGATTGCACGTCTTCAACTTTGACTGAATTGGAAATTTATGTGAAAACTTTCGATGATTGTCTCTATCTACTTGATGAACGTCTCAATTGTTTATCAACACTGAAAATACATGTGGAAGAAATCGTATATACACCAGAAACTATAGATAACACAGTTAGTATAATTGTCCATTATTGTGTTCGAAAAAAAAACAGTCAACTCGATACAGACATACTTTGTTTCATTTTTTTTATAGAAAAAACTTCTCAAATTGAAACACTTCACATTATGTTCATATCCACGTACATTTGTTTATCATAATCGAATTCTCCCATTACTGCAACGAATGATAAATCTGGAAGAATTGATATTATTTATTTCCATAATAAGAACTGACTCAAATTATATTGATGGTATTCAATTAAATAACGATATTCTTATTTATATGCCACAATTGAACAAATTCACTTTCAATATAGACACAAGTATAGTTAAGAAGAATATTGGAATTGCTCTTTCATCGAATGAAGATATTCAGCGTAGTTTCATTGGAAGAGGATATGGACAAGTTGGTTCACTTGTTGAAACTTTCTCAGGAGAAAACAAAAGTGGAGGCCACAGCTATTCACTTCCACAAAAGTTCAACAGTAGATGTCACATCTATTCACTTCCATATCAATTCAAAAGTTTTTTTTATTTAAGCAATTCTTTTCAAGGTGGCATGTTTGATAATGTTCAATGCTTGATGATAACAGACATACAACCTTTCGAGGATTACTTCTTCAAAATCATATCTCACAGTTTTCCTGTATTGAAAAAGTTGTATATATATAACAATGAACCGCAGAAAGAGAAGCAACAATCCATGACATTTATCACATTTTCTCATCTTATTTTACTCAATCTTTATTCCGCTCATGCAGATTATGCTGAACAATTTCTCTTTGATAAACACTGTCATTTGCCTTGTTTGCTGAACCTTTATATCGGCTATAATTCACTTGCACTGGTCACAAACAATTTCACCAATGATGCAACACGTGTCACCTGTGGTAAATTGACCTGTCTTCAAATAAAGGAACCGTTTGTTCCTCCAAAAAATTTTCATAAATATTTTCCTTTATTGTAAATATTATTTCTGTTTAAACTTAAATCATGTACTTTGACTGGTTAAGTGAATATGTCTCTTATTGTCCAAGAAACTGATGAAGACTGATAATAAATTGATAGAATTTTGATCGTCTGGTGATTAATTTTCATTCATTTTTCGTTTATGTACCATTATTTTGTTGTCATTTTTTCTATGAAATAAAACATTGATAATAATTGAAAAATAAAAATAAAAATAGAATTTATTTACATAAATTAATAATGTGTGATGCAAAAGTAATGAGACAAATATTGTCCTATATTTTTTCTTGATCAAAAGGAACTAAAAGAAAAATTTTTTACCAGAAGATAAAGCTTTTTTCCTCTTTCGGTTTGTACATAACTTATTTTTATCACACGCTTATGAATGAAATGACGCAACAGATGAGGGAAGCACTCTCACAGCAAGTTTGCATTTTTCATAGAATTCAGAATAACGATACAAAATATCAGCTCCTGTATCGCTTCGATAAACATGTTTTCAAAGGAATATTTTATTATCATCAGATAGGAAAGGCGACTATAAGTTACACAGTGAGTTTTGATTACAGAACGGGATATATATAAGTTTGCACAGAAATACTTCCTCTTTCCAATAGTGTATGTATTATCGAATTCTATTGCGTATACCATGAAAGGGTGGAATTGGCTTGATTTCAACTCAAAATTCACCCTTTTATGGTACGCAATGGAATTCGATAATATGTACACCATTGGATAGAGGAAGTATTTCTGTGCAAACTTACATACATCCCGTTTTGTAGGCAAAACCTTAGAGTCGCCTTTTCTCCTCTTTCAAACTGTATATTATTTATATGAATCAAACACTAAAATAAAATGTTGTAATAAAAACCAAAAACGTTTGCGCAAGAATTTTGCGATTTTTATATAGACTAGTTAGTAACCAGTCAAAAGAGTGATCGGCGATCGTTTATGAATGATCTTTCATTGATCAAATAGTAAACCCCCCCCTACAATAAAAGACCCCGGGTCTTCTATTATGGTCCAGCGAACTTTTGTAAATTTTGTAAATTTTTGCTGGTGAAAAAAAGAAATTTCTATGAAGTGACTCCTCCGGAGGGGTCTTCTAAAATGGGGGGTCTTCTAATATGGGGGGGTCTTTTATTATGAGGGGGGGTTTAGAAAATCCGTAGCTTTTGTCATAAACTCCATTTTGAGCAGACTAAAAACGATAGAAATGGCTGATTTTCAAGCGTAATCAGAACCAATGATCCCATATTATGAAAGAAAATGGATACCAAAGTTTCCGATGCGATCTTTGAAATAAAAGACCTTTTCATAACCCAAAAATAGTCACTTCTACAGATGTCTAATCATATGTTATTACCATGATGATTCCTTTTTTCAAAAATAATTTATGGTAGTTATGTTTCAGTTGTGTATAGGCAAGATAAACACAAAAGTACGGAAAATCACGGACGGATGAGATTGACAAAAATTTCAATTAAATTGAATTTTTATGTCACTCAAGACGAATGGCTCATTTTTGACTCTTTCTGTACATTCATAATGAGATGATTTCATTCCAATTACACATATCAATGTTATCGTGAGCATTTATATAAGCTATTCCCATAGTCTACTCGACACTAGCTCTGCTGGATCAGGACCAAAGGGTAAAGAGTTAGAAACTTTGAAAAACTGCGAAGTCTTTTAAACAGCTTCTGCACCAAAAACCATTGAAAAATCATGAATCTTAATAGAAGCCCCTCTAAAAATTTTGAATGCGTGGATAGTTTAGAAGCTCCGAGGATCTCTAACGAAAAACGGAGAACTACACATGAGAAAAATAAATCTGAAAATTTAAACTGAATTATGAATATAGAAAGATGAAAAACATCTTGAGATATAAACTGTTCCAAATTATCAACGATATTCATTTCTTCCAAAAATCTTCTATTCATCTGAATCGAATTTGTACAGTTCAATATACAATCAACAAAAAACATTACTACTAATCTGTATCGACAATAATAGAATTCTGCATTACACATTTATTTTTCAAACTTTTATGAAATTATGGAAAATATCTAATGAGTTTTATAACAATTATATTTCATAGGATTGAACAACAAATGAAGAATATCTTTACTATTTATAGGATGAATCAAACAAATATTATAAGCCAATTTCATAATATTATTTACTAAATAAACAATAAATCGAGAAATATAGCTCACTAATTAATTTTCAAACTGGCAATTTGCGTTTGTTTCCTCTTATAGAATACGAAGAGAAAATGTCACAAAACCTTTTTTACAATCAAGTGCAAATTCGATCCACTTCAATAGAATATTCAGCTACAAAATTCAAACAAAGATGAAGATAGAAAGTTCGATCTTAGGATCACTTAATCAAAATAAAATTGAAAATTTATCATATAACCAGTCTCATGAACAAAAGAGGGTGTGGGTGCGGATGGGTGTGAGTGTGGGTGGGGTGTGGGTGTGTGGGTAGTGTGGGTGTGGGGTGTGGGTGTGGGGTGTGGGTGTGACGTGTGGGTGTGGGGTGTGGGTGTGACGTGTGGGTGTGGGGTGTGGGTGTGACGTGTG